AGGCACCTACAGTATCATAAATGCCTTAGGGCAAGCTTTAGCATAAACTTTTCCTTGACAGTGATAAATGGATTAATTTCTCCTCAAACCTGAACAATGTTTTAGGGGCTAAATTTTTGTTGCCATAGCAGTGTACCATTTGATATTTATTGTACCCAATCTGGCTAGATAGCAGACATCTTGGTTATTGATTACATATTGTGTAACCTAGGCTCTCCACCCTAAAACTAAATTTTATTGCTCACAATCTCATTTACTGTTGTTCAGCTTTCTCACCAGTCTTTTTTAAGTGTCAAACATAGTCAGTCTTGTGCATCTTCTGAAAAATTAACTGTTCAGTCCTTGAGTGACATAAAGTCTATTAAATTATCCAGAACAGCTGTCTGACTGGATAAAGCTATATGCAATAGTGATCATCAGAAACAGGCAAATTTAATAAATTTTTTGTTATGTTATTGCAAGCTAAGGCATCTACAGGTCTGCTATACTACCATTTATTATGCTACTGTGCATATTCTTCTCTATTTTCACTCTTCTCTATTCTCTTTATATAAAAAATGCACAGATGCCTAGATGAGAAGTAACCTGATGGGCCTATTGTTTTGAGTTTAACTGGAGTTAAACACTTGTGGAGTATGCAGGAGAATAAGACACAGGTTGTGTACAAGCTGGCAGAGTTCTGTTTTGTTGGATTTTTACCAGGAAACCACTGTCTCTGTGTATCAGAAAACTTAGGGCTTTGAACCTACAGCTCTGGAAATTGATCTTTCATTGCATGGGAATGAACAACTACCAGCAAGGGACTGTACTTATTTCCCCAACTGTGTGTGCATTACAGTGGAGGAAGTTAATGGTCACATTCAGAAATGAAGTTGCAGATATAAGTACTGCTCTACCTTTAATGAAATACAGAGAAACATTCTGAAGGAAACATATTCCAGTGATAAAATTTACTAAAATACAATAGTTTTCTCTCTTACCAAAGTTTATTCTTCCTGATGGACTCATGAGCCATAAAGGGAAATAATTGCTGTGTAAAATGTAATCTTTCTTTCTAAATAACTGACAAAATGGTCAAGTACTTGCATGCCTAAGCATTTTACATGTTTCAGTGAACAAAATGCTTTTGTATTCATTTAGTCAAGTGTTAAATATGTTTTAAGGCCCTGAGAACAGCATTTCAGAGCTGCTTTCTGGAACACATTTCTGTGATGAAGTTATTTGTCAGCTGATGAACGTCAGGAAGTAGAACAGACATTATTTCCCTTAAATCTTCTGATTCTGCTTAGCACAGTACCAGAAAGTAAAATAATTACATAAGTCAGGATGTAAAGGTAGAAAAATACTCAGAACACTGAGTGTATCCAGAGTGTATTATGGAAATCTTGAAAGAACCTTTCTTTTGCCAAATTACTATTTCATTTCTATCTGTTCCACAGTAGTAAGCCTTTTAGCAAGGACCTGGAGGTGAGTGATTCTTGGCTTGGAGGAGGAAAATCAATAAAGAAGATGGCAATGTGTTGTTCACATGTGCTTTTTGCCTAAGCTGCCTTTTGATTTGTTCTTAGGATTTTCATGTTTTCAGTTTAGCCAGTTTTCTCATGATTGATCACAAATGTGTTGCAGTTTGTTTGTCTGGTTGAAAAGACTAAATTTTAATCTCTGATTATTTCCATCATTAAATTACTCTGAAACTTTTTACAGGAATTTCTGCAATCTACCATATATAATTTTAAAATATGCCTCAACAGTAAGCAAAGCACATAATTGTAGAATCCATTAGAATTCTTTTGTCACTGAAGAGTGAAGATTGGCTCTTCTACTGTGATAATTTTATAAATTTAAAAAGCTGCAAGAATGTTATGCATTAATTAGCTCTGCTGTTTGAAAAACAGGACTTCTGCTTGTTGCTATGTTTTATATTGCCTTTGCCCTCTTTCAAAGAGCAGTTCTCAGCCTGGTGGAGTGATCTTCTTTTGCAGTCCTGAAAGACCCAGCTTTCAGCATTCTGCTGTTAAATGAACAGGAAACTAGAATGCTGCCTGTATAAGGTTACATCCCCAGGGTCAGTTCAGTCCAGGAGTACGCACGTGTGGTTAACAATACAGCTTCCACTGCTTATGACACACCAAGGCTCTAAAAAAACCTGATCTCAGTAGTTCAAAAACTAGCTTGTGTTACCCATTACTTTCCTGATAAGACCTTTCATGAGTCATTAATCTTCATCTGTGTTAGATAAGATCCAACATGCTATAGTCTTACCAGACGTGATTCTTGCAGCTACACAGAATGACTGGTTTGCGATGCCAAAACAAAGGCATGTTCTGCTCTCTGAAAATCAACTCTGAGCCAAATATTTAGTCAGTCATTCATTTTTAGCCGATTTCCAGTACAGGAAGCTTTTGGATTCATTGTCATTTATAATTGGAAAAAACTCATAACTCTTTTGTAAACTGTCTAAATGAGACAGCGGTCTGTCATTCCACTATTTGAAAATGTTTTCCAATTTGAACAATAAGAAGTGAAGTTGACCTTACTGAACCTCTTCTACAGAATAATTTTCATATGGAAGTTATTAGATTCTAAAGTACTTTTCCTCATTTTAGGGTATGCTTTTTTTAGCTGATTATGTGATAATATATGGGAGTATGTGCAAGTGTCCAACTTGCAAAATGCATTTTTCTTTTTTTTTTTTATTTAAACTGAACATTATAAAATTTCTCTGCTTTGCTTTTGAGATTAAAAAATCAGCATAAACAAAATCGACTCTGAATTATTTGAGGAGACCTGTAATGTAGCATTGTTCATGTATAAAATTTTATCTGTAGTGTAAATAGTAGGATTATTTAGATCATCTGTACTGTGACATCTTTAAAAAACTGTTCCACACAAGTAGAGATAAAATAAAATGACTTCTTAGAAGAAACTGGAAAAAATATGCCTAAACAGTTAAGTGTGCCTATTATAAATGGATAAAACTGATTTTGTAAATGTTACTGCAAAACTCAACCTAATATACTTCACACGAATTTTCAGACAGAAGCCATGGTATAATCAAAGCCTATACCATGGCTTATCAAAGTAGAATGAACAAATTTAAAACAGCTACAGTCTGTCACAGCATTCTAATAGGCTTTGGGGATACTGATTTTTATTATATTTTTAATGTATCAATTCTCACTGCTGTGTAGACAGTGACAAAAATTATTTTCCCAAACTCTGCATAAGGGGAATATTTATAAATAATTCTGTTTAGTAAATACAGAAGAGCTAATTGGAAGTGGTGATAAAATGTTTTCTAGTTTTACTGGAAATGGGATATGATATGAATGTTGCATTAAATACAGAAAAATAAATTAGAGAAAGAAAGAATTGTGTGACATTTGTACTGATGGTGTTATTTAGAGACACAAAAAGAGCTTGCAAAGATAATTGTTTCTGGAAACCATTACATTCATTTGTATTAATTAGTATTGTCCTGCATTAAAAAAACATTGAGTGTGTAAAATGCACAGAATTGTATCTGCAAAATTACTGTTCAAGCCAGTTTTGAAAACTTAGCTTGATGAATTTACTTTTTTCAGATGCAAAATTATTTTCCTTAAAGCCATTTATGTTGGAAGATCTGCAGTTCTCACAGTATTTCTTTGTAAAAGTCTACTTTCTGTCCTTTTAATATACAGTGCATAAAACACTACATGGTACTTTAAATAGTTTATGATGCACTTTATTTTTCTGTTTATTTCCAGAAGAGATATGTACACTTGTAATAGCAGAAACCTTTCCTGAAGATTCAGGAATTTTCACCTGCACAGCAACAAATGAACATGGTTCAGTAACAAGCAGTGCACAACTAACTGTGTGCTCAGGTATGCGACAAAGAGAAGGAGGAGTGAGGAGCTTTTAGTCATAAATCTTACATAATTAATTTACCTGTGAGGTTGTCAGTCTGCTTTCTTTGTGGAAAATGGCTGCTGTAAGACATGGGGATTGTCAACCTCAGTGCATTCATATAAAGCAAACTGAATGTTTCTTATGCTCATTTCCTAGTTTAATATTTTTATTAATGAGAAATACATTCTTAAAGTTCCACCACAAGCCTGGCATATCTTAAGCATTAGGGTTCAAGACTAGATGGCAGCAGAGGCAAAATTAAAGAGATGAAACTATGCTACTAAAGGTGGCCTTCTGTAAAATAAAACACTGTGACATAATATGTTTCGTTTTGTGATATGTTTCCATATATATTGTCATGGGATGCACTAACCCAGCTGCCATTGCAAACTTGCCATGTATACATGCATTCTTCAGCATTTTTAAATTATTTGTTCCTCAGTGGTCCTGAAACTTCAGGAAGAGGAAATCCTGTTTTAGCTGTTGTCCATACTTGTCAATCTCAGTTAGTGCCTCGATTCCTTGAAACAGATTTAGAGAAGTCCCTAAGGTTTCTAGTTGTGTCTTTGCATGAGGCACACTCAGAAAATGAATAGCCATCCATATATCTAATTAAATAATAGCATAAATTATCAATAGGAAGCATAAATTATCAATAGGAAGACTAGAAAAATACCTTTATAAAACCAAAGATATTTCACCTTTTAAAAACTGGAAATACACCTTGTATTTACCATGTACTTTGTCTATGACTTGTTGAAGAGATATTCTTTTTGATTTCTTTTAGCCAACTTGGAATGCTCTAGTGATGATTTCCATCATTTCTCACCACTTTCTCCAGTTGAAATTAGCTCTCTTGAGCTTCCTTCTAAGAAGCTTCCAGATACCCACCAAGCAAACAACACTGAGGTGAGACCTGGTGTGATAGACCTTCAACCACAGCTCAATACATCTGAGGAAAAATCAAATGGCATTCATCCTCTTCATGGAGTAAATGGAATGATTAACAGCAAGCCAAATGGTGATAAATCCATCCCACCTCCAGCTGTCTTGCTTTCACCTACAAAGGAACCACCACCTGTGCTTGCCAAACCAAAGCTGTGAGTATTTTGGAGTGTTTTTGTTTCCTATAAACTTGATATTTGTTGACAGCAATTTTTTGCCTGAAGCGATTCAGCATTAGACAAATGGACAGTCACGGTGCCTGTTCCTTGAACAGTCTTGCTGCTGCTGTGATTTATGTGCCAAAGAGCTGAATACAGGAGACATTTGTTTCCTTCACGTAATGCTACATCAAAGGGAAGTGCATTCTATATCCCAATGCCTTTAGAGAGGTTGAAGATGAAGTCACAAATAGAGAAATACTGTAGTGGATGTTGCTCCGTGCCTTTTTTTCCCTAGTCACCATACCTAAAGATCATAGTGCCCTGAGATTTTTGGATGCCATTTCTCTTTCAGCACTGGTTAGGTATTTTTCTTCTGCATGTGCTTGGGTTTGTGTCGTCAGTGGATATTCAGGTGTGTAATTTTTTTATTATTTCTTATGTTTATGTATAACATATCTCTCGCTCTGCTTTCAGCCAGATTAAAATAGCTCTCTTATAGCTAAAAATCTGAGAAGGCAAAACGCTAGGAAAGGACAGAGAAATGAGTGGTAAAAAAAGTTACAGTAACATTTTTACCTTTTGTTAATGGTGATACATTATGCATAAGCAATATTATGCTCCCTGTTAACTCATAGTTTGATTTTAACATTGCACAGACTCCTCCTTTCCATCTCCCTCAAGAATATTTGGAATGTGATGAACTAAAATGCTACTTTATTTCATTTGCATCAATAGTTGGAAGGATATGTAAATTATAAAAATGTGTTTAAGAAGAAGCATGAAACATGGTCTTAAAGCTTATCTAGGACATTTGCTTTATTCCATGTTTTCACATAAAACTTGCAAAATATAAAAATGCTGTTATTTTAGCACTCATGTTTGAATTTAAATGCACAAAAACACATTTGAGGCAGCAAGCCAACAGTATTCCCTTTACACTCTCACCACTTTTTCTTTCAGTTGCTCTTTGTCATTCTAAGCAGTCTCTGGCAACTGTACAAGGGAATGAGGAGTGGAAGAACTAGAACGACAGAGTAGTGAAGTAACAGTATATATGGTGGTGGTTGCATGTATGTGAGGGAGGCTGCCGAGGATGGCAACTTGCAGATGATATGTGATATGGAGAAAGCCAGGTGGTCCTGTACCCAGCATACATATCTGTGGCAAGAACCACTTGTGAAGAAAGGAGATAGTGTCTCCAGCAGAGCAGTAAAAAAGAAATTTCACTCCAGAGCTTTCTTTCCCAGACGCAAGGTTGCCTGAAATAAGGGAAAGAATGTGGTGTAAAAGACTTCATTGTATAACGTTCACTGCTATGTCTGCAAAATTTGTTTTGTTGTTAAACACAGTCAACATAAAACACAGAAACGTGAGAGGGATGATATTGCAAAAGTCCCTTCAGTTACTGATGTCCAAATTGATGACCTTGGAATCCCTTGTGTAATTACTCTTGATTCCTATATTTTGAAATTAACAACACTTGATGCACAAGAGACTGATCTTGACTGCAGTCAAGATACATGTTTTGCTCGGTCAAAGGCTGTATACATCTGTGCTGCTGTCAGAAATTGAAATCTTGCCTTCTCCTCAGCCAAGTATTTTGCTCCCAAGCACAGTGATAGCATAAGGAAGGGAAAAAGTGCCAACAAGAGGAGAAAAAGAAATGCTTGACTGCAGAGACTTGAAATCAGCTTTCAATATTTGGAAAACTGCTTCCTTAGTAAAAGTGAACAAAATAATGACATTAAAATTAGCTGAGTAGTAAAGTAGCTCTCTCAACTGTAAGAATGATATCTCTTGAAAATAACTCATCTATGGAATTGTATCTGTCTGTAGAGTATTAGATGACAGAATCAGCACATACTAGCAGTGAATAAGAGCAAGCACACTTATAACCTTTTTTAAAAGTTATTTAAACTAATAAATTGTTAACTATGGAGAGAGCTTTAAGCTTCTGAAAATCATTAATAGGTTTATTTTTCAGGAAGACTGGTTTTAAATTTCCAAAATAGTATTTTGTTTTTGAGTTTATAATAAATTATAAATTACTTAAGAGGTTTATCTGTGAACTGTCTGAAAACAGTTTCTTCAGCCAACACTGAAAGTAATTGCAAAGAGTTTGGGAATGATAGGGTAGTTTTGGTTTTATGTTCTTTATTATTATTTTTAATTTAACAAGAGGGAGAGATTGAATACCTTCTTGCAGTATGAAATAAATTTGCATCTTGGCAATGTAGCTGTAACCAGCACCTATAAATAATGAGTTATCACAATTCAATCTAATGCAAGAGTGGACATGCTATAGAGAGTTCTGTAGGTGTTTTCAGGCTTGAAAAGTGTTTTTAAAGTCCTAAAAAACATTCAGGCTGTGGTTACAGGCACTTTAATTATACTTAAGGCATCATTAGTTGTTGCTTCAGTGTGATGCTAAGAAAATTTAAAAGAGTTTAATATGACAATATTAAACTGGGAAAAATATATAGAGAATTAATTAGGAATAGTCAACACCAGATATTTTGCTAAAGTGAAATCTAGAAGACAATAATTCTAAATATGTTTAAAAGGCACAATATTTCATGCTGGTTTTTTTGCAACATGAGTTTCTGTAGAGTGAAAGGGCTGTTGAACTGAGACAAAAAGCCTTGATTTCTGTGATTCTGATGTCTGCTGCAGTGACCTATTTGAGGAGGTTGAACTATTACTGTGCCTTGGACTTTTTGGCCCACAATGCTGTAATGCACAGATGAGTTTCAGAAGATCCCCAGCAATGTGTGTTATCTTAAGATATTTTGCATCTCTCAAAATCGGGCAAATTATGTTAATAGTAATTTTAGTTTGAAATCTGTGTATGAGCCTTATACTTATAATCCTCAGTGTGAATGTCTGCAAAAAACACACAAGGCTGTCCTGGAGGACTTTATATAACATGTCTATGGTTTCAAATGAAGAATTTCCATTTAAGTGGCTTGGTATCACTGTTACTTTTCCATGAGTCTGTTAAAACAGTAAGAGAAAAAAGATGGTGTTCATATGGTTACTGGATGTACCTGTGTGATGTTTGTTGGCTTTGTAACAAGCCAGCATTTCAAAGTTCAGAGACTCGGTGTAATGACAGTGTGGTGCCAGAGCTTCCTGACTGTCTTGAACTCTAACACCTGACTGGAGAGCTTGTCTGCAGTTGTCTCATGTCCAGCCTCTTTGTGTTGGAGGGTTATCCAAGTCTGTCATATACAATGACCACAAAGAGTGTAAGCTTAAAGAGAGTTTATTATTTCCATTATAATTGTGTTTGATATCTGCAAACAGTAAGCACCTTTTTAGAATACATTGAGAAGAGCTGGATAGAAAAATAATAAGTGAGAATAGGCAACAGTTCAATGATTCACGTAGCTTTACATTCATGAGCAAAGGTCTATCCATATCCATTTCTTTTGTTTCATCTACTCTGCTCTTTCAAGGTTGATAAGGACCTTTGGATCTTTATCTTGCCGTTAAAGCCTACCCTCAATTAAACTTTGATCTACACATATTTTCTACTGTAGTGGAAATAACTAATGCTAACTAAATTTGCTAAAATGTAAAGCGGGATAACTACACATAAGGTTAATCCCTCAATAATAGTACAAGTCCAGAGTATTTTCTGCATCTGTTTTCACAATTAATGCATTGGTGTTTCATTTGTAATGTTTTTTCCTCTCGCACTATACCAATATATTTTTTAACAGAAATTGAGTTAAAACAAGGAAAAGTTTTGTGAAGCATTTCCAATTCAGTGATCAACAGGCACTTGGACTAGGGTTTATAATTTAATAATAACAAATAATATATGAAAATAGAGAAGGCTTTATTGGAGAATATACTAAGAAATAGGATTTTTCCCCATTTTCTCAGATTCATTTCTTATGTAAAAGTTGCTAATCGTGAAAAGGAATATGAAGTGTTATAATTTCTTTTGGTACACCTGTGGATTGAATGCAGTAGATAACAGTAATTTTAAAACAAAGCATTAGTTGTTTTTGTGATCTTGGATCAGTGTGAAAATCTCTGAGACCACTGGAAGACAGAAGAGAGGAAATAGGAAATATTATGAAAAATAGGTTGAAAGTCACATTTCATTGCCTATTTCAGATCAAGGAATAGCATGACCCAAACCCAGAGGCAGTTATTGCTGAGAAATTTCCTTTTTGCTTCTGTCTTTGTTAACATAGTGTCAAAGGGTAATCACAAATGAACTTTAAGCCTTTTAAAATCTGCAGCAATTGAAGTCTGAATACCTTACTAACAATAGATTGAAAAACAAGAGAGGTTAAAGGTGATACATTTATTTTTTAGTTTTTTTCTTCTTTTGGCACTGATGTTTTCTGACCCAAGTAGGTGGAGACACTTAAGTGTACATCCTGCCTACATAAAAGCTAATCAGTCTTTTAACCAGAAAAGTCAAATATTTTTGAAACAGTCACAAAATACATATACTGTTTGTGCCACCGTCATGGTATGCACACAGAATTTTGGTATTTTTTCAGATGTGTACTTTAACACTGAAAGTAATCTAGTTTATAGGACAAGCAGGGACATGAGGGAAATAAATAGAATCATTGATCGGTTTCAGTTGGAAGGACCCTTAAGGACTATCTAGTGCCACTCCTGCTGGAATGGGCAGGGACACCTTCCACGACACCAGGCTGCTCAAAGCCCCATCCAGCCTGGCCTTGAATGCTTCAAGGGATAGTGCATGAACAGCTTATCTGGACAACCTTTTCCAGTGTCTCATCACCCTCACAGTAAAGAATTTCTTCCCAATATCTAATGTAAACCTTCCCTCTTTCAGTTTAAAGACAATACTCTTTGTCCTATCATTATCATTCCTATATGTCCTATCTGCTCCAGACTTCCACAGGCCCCCCTGAGGTGCTGGAAAGGCTGCTCTAAGGTCTCCCCAGAACCTTTTCTTCTCCAGCCTGAGCAACCTGGCTCTCTCAGCCCACCTTCACAGGAGAGGTGCTTCAGCCCTCTGAGCATCTTCATGGCCTTCTCTGAACTTGTTCAAACAGGTCCATGTCTGTCTTATGTTGGGGACCCCAGAGCTGGAGGCAGCACTGCAGGTGAGGGCTCACAAGAGGAGGTAGGAGAGGGAGAGTGAGCTTCCTCAAGCTGCTGGTCATGCTTCTTTTGGTGCTGCCTAGGATATGGTTTGTCTTCTGGGCTACAAGTGCACAAGTTCAGCCACTTGCTTGAGCCTGTGCATTTTAAGCTTTTGGTTAAATACATGCTTTAAACTTGTAAAAATCTTTAGTGCCTCCAAGAGTGTTCTCCCTCTCCTTTCTGCCTTTATGGCTCTGTTGCCTCTCTCACACCTTTGTTACTAACACCACCAGCTCCTCAAAGTACCAAGAATGGGCTTTTTTACTAAGAAAAGGATAGCAAATGTTGGGGGTGGGGGGTGGATTATGTAAATAATGCAATTTGTTTTTTTGTGTAACAAGGTTGAGTAGAAATCTATGCCAACAGTTTATGATGCACCTTTGAACCAGAAAATACAGCAGGAAGAGTTGTACTATCCATCTGCAAATAGTTTATGGATAGTTTTTCGATAATAATGAACTAAAAGCATTGAAATGAAACATTTCTGTTAATTTTGTTTGTTTGTTTCCTTCTCACCTAAATAACTGAGCGGATGTAATACTTGGAAATTATCAAGCAAAAGGAAATTGAAGGAAAGGTCAGTTCTAGAATGCAGCATTTTCTGAGAGGTTCTCAGTATGCTTTTGGACTGGGAGATCCTGCAGAAATATTCAAGGATTCTCTTGGTATCACAGGATAGAAATCTCAAACAAAATGATTAAATGCTTCCCTGCATGCTAATCCTTGCAGTCTAATCATCATATGTACTTAATTTTTACATGGCTTTGAATATGGCATGCAGCCACATTTCCCTTGGTATTCTTTCACCCCTGACCATGTAAATATCCAGTCTACATATAACTTTGAAATAGTAAATATATCATCTTATGCTGGTTATGAGAAGAAAGGTGGATGAGAAGGGATATAGTTTTTGTTTTGAACCACCTTTGTTTACTCTATCTTGATGCAGCTAAACCCATTTGCCAGGACTGCTCACTCCAACTGTAGAAAATAGAAGATAAAGCTGAAAAACTAAAACAGAAGTTGTTCATAATTTTGGATTTGGTTTTCAGGAAAAACTAAATTTTAAAGTCTCAATAATAGCGTATCTGTCATTTTTGCCTTCTGAGCGACTTCCTAGAGAAAGGTCCTATCTGATTCAGGCGAAGAGTTTGCAACTAATACAACAGAAGATTGCACTAACACTTCCTTTGGCACCCAGGTCTGTTGAGAAATTTAAAAAAACTTCTGCATACAGCACTTAGTATTCTAATCCAAAATGAGAGACTGGAAATCCTTACTTGACTGAGATATGACATGGAAATTGATTAATATTAAAAAATGCAGTATTTATTTTAGAAAATTTGCTTGTTCCTTTTGTACAGGTTTTGACAATACCTTTTATGATGTTCAATTAGTCAACAAATTGAAATAAAAGATCAACCAATATCAGTTTATGAGACAGAGAGAGGAACTGGCCAAAGCTTGTTCTGCCAGTCCTCATTTTCTTTGGAAAATGTGTTTGGTAGAATCTGGATAGATAAAGTTCCTTTTGATAACATGAACTTCAAAGTATTATGGACACTACAGTTCTCTATGATAGACAAGCATAGTTATGTGAATTGCAGTTGGGTTAAATAGTTATTATGTTTGAATGTGATTTCAAAGCTTCAGCTGGAAATCTTCAACAATATGAGGACTGATTAGTAACTGTTTTGCTAGTCCTTCCTTGAAGAAATAATTTTTTTAAAAGGTAATTTAGGATGTTTTTAGCAAGGATAACTTCTGAATAGCTAATTTGCTGCATGCTTTTTAATATATAGCCAAAAAAGTATCTAAACACAAGCTCAGCTTGTTAAACAGAAGTTCACATGCTGGCTACCCTCACACTCCCAGTGCCTACTCTTTAATAAATTTGTTCTTGGAATTTACCCTGTCATAGAAACCAGCTACAATTAGATCTACCTGTCTACCTGCAGTTGGTCATGCCCATGCTTTAAAAAAAGCTCTGCAGAAGTGTGAACCCATCCTTGAGTAAGGAGACTTGCTGGACAGGGTGCTAGCTCATGAAGCTTAATCATAAACTCCCGTAGTTATATAGCTACTTGATTTTATTATTTTTATGTTCCCTCCTAACATATGCCAGATTTTTTTATGAAAGTGATGCAATTGTCTGATGGTTTCCATGCTTCTTTCATCTGTGATTGTACTACTAAGTTTTTCTTGTATGCCATTTCAAGTTTTCATGCTTGTTCTCAGGTATACCTGCCATTATATCTTGCGTTTACTTAAACACAGTTTATTTAAAATGTGTTTAAATTTTCTGTGTTAAGAAATGTTTTCTGGTGATGAAAATAAGAGCTTGGAACTCAGTGGCATTTGCTTTTTTCTGGTTCAGTGTGCATGCTATGAAACTTAGTTACAGAATTTCTATATGCTATTTTTTCTGTCATAAACAGAATTAAATAGAGGTAACTAAATATAGCAAAGAAGACCTAAGAATCGAGCAAGTGCTTTAGGTCCCGCTCTGTCAGCCTTATTCTTGTCTTAAGAAGCCTTATTGGTCTCTTAGAACTTTTATGGAAGTAGGAATGGAAAAGGCTTATCCAGCGGAGGGAGCAGTGTTGCTTGAGTAGATATCTGTCAAGGAAATAAATTGATACTTTCTAGAACACTGACACCATGTAAGAGACATGCTTTCAGAGGCCTTGTTTATATCCTGTAAAAAACATCAAATTGGAAGCACAAGTCTGGAATTTGGCTGCAGAGGACAAGCTCAGTATTTGTTTTGAAATTAGTCATAGGGAAGGCTTTTTGACCCCAAAAGGCCAGGATAGCTGTATTTACACACAATAATTGCACCACTGGTGTAGGAAGTGCCTCCAGGGGATGGTGAAGGGTTGGCTTTAGTATCAAATAGAACAGTTGTTTACTAGAAATATAATCAGTTTCTTACCTTTTGATAATACATTATATATATTTAGTGTTTGTCAAAAAAAAAACCCAAAAAACAAAAAACAAACTCATTAAAACCTTACTTGGTTGATATCTGGAATGTTCTAGAATTCCTGCCTGTTACCTCGTGGCAGGCCTTTAGGTATCCTTGCCAAACTCTGCAGTGTATTTAGTAAGAAAAATAATTAGCTGTATTCATTTTCCTGCTTGAAGGACTTAAATACTTGCATGGTCCTGACAGATAAAATGAAGATCAAATTGCTTAAGTTCTCAGTGGGTCAGAAAGACAGGGTAGAAGCCTAAATTTTTAATGTGAAAATTCTGATTTAAAAGGTTTCATTAAAGACACTATGGAAAATGATTTTTCAGAACTGATAAATTCTTTGTAATATTAAATGGTTTGCTTTAATTAAATTGACATTACAAGGCCCTGTATTTAGTTTTCTAGAAATGCAGGTAAGAGCTCCCCAATAGAAGCCAACACGGGGAGGGAGCAAACCTCACAACCCAATTCTGCTTTGAGGAAGGGATGAAAGTCAGAGAACACTCCGGAACCAAAGGAGTGTGCTGTCTTTGACAGACGGGGGTAAGACAAGGGAACAAGGGAGGTATACAGGTGGATTGACATGTGGATTGACATACATTTTTATGGGGAAAACTGTGGTAAACAACTCAGGACTGAACCATTAGGGAAGCCAAATGGGGTACATAGAATGAACCATGACAAGATTATAACAAGGAAAATTAAAACATACTACAGAAGAACAAACTGTAAAATAACAGACTATGACACATGTAGCTTTGGAATTGCTTATAATCCATTACAGCTTTCTAATATGAAAACCATCATATAGCTCTATAAACTCTACTGCCTTCTAGGAACTGACATGTAGGAATTAAAATTTTGGTAAAAGCAGAATTTCCTCTCCACTGAATGCAGAAATGGATAGAATATCAATGTACCCACACAAAAGTATACCTGCACTTACTATTTCATCAATTACTGGGCAGCGTATTTTCTTATTGATAAACCAGCTATTTTAACCAATGACCTGCCATGCAAATTATAAACTGATAATAATTTGTGAATGTGGCAGATGTGAGTTTAATATGCCAAACCTTGGTTCTAGTTTTAAATATATCTAAATAAAGTAATATCTAAATAAAGTAGAAAAATATTAGAAACATATTTGAACCTGCAAGTGGTATATGGGATAATATTTTAAATTTCTCACTGATTGCAGAAGGATACTTTCTCATTATATAATTTTCTGCTTATTCTGTCGGTGTTAGAGACTGACATGGAACCTGGAAGTAAATGCTATTCTATAGTGTTGTGTGTATGCAGTGTATGTGCCAAACTTTAACAGGTGCTAATCTTATGGCAATTTATCTATGTTTATCTCCTGGACTTTCATAAAGTACCTTGCCAGTAAATGCATTGTGCAAGTCCTTTGGCATTTTTTCACCATTCCTATCTGTACCTGTTTCCTTTTTAATTTCCCCCTGTAAATGATTTCTTAAACTAAGGATTTCTTTGGTTTTTATTTGTGCTGGCAAGCAGTGCAATGTTATTATTTTTTTCAGTTTGGAAGAGAATGAGGGAAGTAAGCTTACTACGCATAAAGCCTATAGAGTCCTAATGAGAACCTGCATTCAGAGTACTTGAATGCCACCTCTTGCTAGTTCAGCTTGATATGATAGGAATTGTGTCCAGCTCTTCTGGACATATTATCCCTCATTTTAGACAAGTTGCAAACTATATAGAAGAAGCTTATTAGATAAAATAAAACCTTGTATATCTGCAGAATCTCTCTCTCCAGGTTTCAACAGCAATAGGTATGCAAGTGGTGATCTGGTCAAAGAAAGCAATTTTGTGGTTTAGTAGCAGCATGTTCTCCCTGATAGGTGAATAAATTGATGCATCAACAGTATATTGCAAAAGGTAAAGCATAATGGAATGGGTTGCTGCTGTTGTAGATTAGGGAAAGTTTAATGTCTGGTAGATAGCACCCTTCCTTTGAGAAACTGACCTGTTAATACTCACAGAGAGAAAACTCAAGCAGTCACAAGTGACAACAGCTTTATTGGAGCAGTTTGCTTCTGATTTTACCTAAAGGATGGAGGCATATTTTTTTTCTATCTTCCAGAATTCACTAGTAACATTTTCTGTTGTCACTTTTGTGAAAAATTATTTTTATTTTATAATTAAATATTCAAACTATGTAAAATCAGAGATATTACTGTAAAAGTCCGATTTTATTTTCTGACAACTAATTGCTCCAACATGCATATTAATTCCATCTTTAAAATTCATGAATTTTCATAACTGCTTACAGGATAAAATTGTCATTGGATATTATACAGAAGTGTGAAGTCCTCTGAAGTGCTTCATTTTGTCTTTTTTTTTTAATTAATATCTGTAGTATTTAAAATACTTAGGGAAATAGTTATATTGACTTAGATGTTACTCAGAAATTGCTTAGAATTCTGAGTTTTGGATACATTTCAACTTTTGTTTACTTTTATAATGCTCACTGGGAATTAACTCTTCCTCCCTAAAGTAATGTAAGATAAGCAGTGTTTTCTGTCAGAAGCAGAAATTCACAACTACCCTTTTAGTTCCCTTGCTAATCATGTTTACTTAACTCTCAACACAGTCTAAAATGGACTTTAGTGATATTTCCAGACTTTTTTATCTAGTAAATTCTTGTCTGAGTGAAGTTGCCAAGTCAGCCCCTGAAGGCAGAGCTGTGTGCCTTCAGCTTCCACTAAAACACATAACATTATGCTGGTTATGAGCAAACACCCTAGAAATGTGTGTAAAAAATACTCAATGTGCAGAAGCATCCTTTTAGCACCCACAGCCATTGGGATTATGTAATGAGCCTTCTCCTTGCTTTATTAAAGTCACAGAAGAATTTGATGATATGTCACAGCAGGCGACTGTATGTCCTGCATACAGAGTCAAAACAAAATATTCGGGGGGTGGGGGCAAAAAAAGCCTTTATAAATGTCCAGATTTACAAATGCTATTTACTACCTGCTATTGCTGTAGTACAGGTAAATATTATGTTCTCTTTTTTCCCTTCTATGTGCTTGTGTAAATGAAAGACAAAGATTTGCTAACTTAATTAAAAACAGCATGGTACAAATGTGAAGGCCCCTGAGACAGGACTCTGCAGTTTCGATGCTGATGCTGATACTTTTGCTCTGTCTAGTTTATTTTTCTTATGTGAATATTTCTCTCTTACAGTAGAAAGACAAGAGGCACAGCAGAATTTGAAGTTTTATATCACTAGCTCATAGGGCTTCATAATTGACTGATGTTGCAATAATGTGTTTTATTGCAGAAGGCTACACATACAAATTTTTGAATTTTATGTTCCCCAAACATATATCATAATTTCATTACATCATGAAGTGGTAGTTGCTGCATACAAAGAACGTTTGTACATAGATATCTTTGTCTCACACTTCTTAAGATCCATGCTCAGAGATTGTGAGGGTTAGCCCCCCTCATCATTCCTTGATCTATAATCAGATTATGTGACGGGGATCCCAAATGCCTCTCTTCAGTATTATCCAGAATTGTACCCTCGCCTGCAGCATATCAAAGATGGATTAACCAATTAATTACAGATTCACCAGATCATTGAGTGTAATCCTTTTTTAGGCCACTAACGTCCTTCAGGGCAAAGGACTCAATATGACTTCTGATTTTGATCAGTTGCTGGAGTTGGCTTGGAGGGTCCTTCCCCTGGATCATCATCGTCCATGGGCCGATCAGTTTTGGTTGTGTTTCCCACATCTTGTGGAAGGAGCAGCAGCTGTTGATTGAGGCTCATGGTTGGGTTTAGCTTCGGGCTTAGGCTCACTCTCTGGTTTAGCTGCAGCCTGAGTGACTGGGGTAGCTGCTGATTTATCTCCCTGCCCCCCTGCCTCTATCTGCTGCCCTACAGTATTTAGCAGCATGTTATAAGCATATGGCATGCTTATTGCAATTAGCTTTTTTTTATTAGAGCACTTTTCTTTCAGATATTTTCCCATTTCAGCTGAGTTCTGTATTTGTTCACGTGGAAGTCTCAGGTTATAGGGTCAGAAAATTCTGTCAGAGTTTGGCCCATAGCCTCCCATTCTCCACGCCACTCAAGAGTTATTTATGCTTGGGTCCATGCCTGGGTCTGGTATTTCATCAGCTCTTCTGGGCATATTATCCCTCATTTTAGACAAGTTGCAAACGATATAGAAGAATCTTATTAGATAAAATACCAAGAAAATGGTCTCTTTAACATTCAGGTGAAATTGAACATTATCAAAAAGTGATGTGACAGGTTCAAGGCAGAAGAAGGCAAGGAAAGGAAAGGCTGAAAAGCCTCATTCCCTGCTCCTCTTCTAATATTTTGGGTGCAATTACAATAAAATGCCCAAATTATGCTATTGGAACTAGGACGGAAGGTAGAACGAAGAAACCATAAACCATACATATCTTGAGGAAACTGCAGTACCTTTTAAAATTTCTTATAAACCATTATTACTATGCTCAGCACAATAGCAACCCAAATCCGTGCCCCTCTATTGTAAAAGCTTCATGTTAGGGACAATATTGGAGCTATCTCCACATAAGAAAATAAGTTTAGGGACCAGAAAGGTATTAAAACTTTTAAAAAGCCTAGGGACCAGGAAAGGCTTTCACCCAGAAAGACATTATGAATTTAAGCAACATAGCTACTGACTGCTTTATCCCACTACAGAGTAAATGAAACTAAAATGCAATCAGTAAAGGTTTTTTCCATTTTCTCAAGCCACACACTGGGCACCAAAAAGTATTTGTCTTGGTTTAGGGCAAATCTGGGAGGAAATTTTTTAATGGGGTTTTTTTGGAAAGCAAATTCAAGCGGCACTTTTTTCTCATTGGTTTGGGAAAGATTTATTTGGAGACAAGTGGAAAAAACTGTTTATTTAACAAGCAAAGTACTCACAAACATGAAAAAAATGAGTAATACTAAACAATGGAACTTTTCATTATTTTGAGGAGATGGCAAATTCAGAGAGAGTCCTTTTCATGGGGTGTAGCTTGGCTCTCTTCCAGTCTCTCCAGGGCTCAGGCCCCAACCACAGTGCAGCTTGGGGGCCCCCCCCCAGTTGATAGTCCTGGTCTTCTCGGATTGAACAATAGTTGAACAGTTCCAAAAAACTTCTGGCCTCAGCTAACTAAAAAACACTAACTAAAAGCGAAGGAGCGCTCTCTCTTGCTGTCTGTGCTGTAAACAATATAGTCCATAAAGGACAATGCAGGGAAGCAAGTGCAGTTTGTGCAAACAAACTGTGCACTTCTTTTTCCCCTTTGCTCTCAGAACCTGTCTTAAAGCTGCAGAATGTAAAATCCAGCATAAACAGAACAGTCAGCTGGGAATACAAGCTTCATAAAGTCACCCTAGTGGAAGTAGCAAATATTGTTCTCACAATAGTCTGAGAATGAGGAAAACTGGAGGGAAACAGCTCTTCTCTTGGTAAGTGTTGAAACAGCTAAAGCAGGGTATTACAGATGCTGCTGAATTATCAGCAGTTATTTAAGTTATTCCATGGTATTCTCATGGCTAAGGTGATTAGTTAAATTCTAATGATTCTGTGTAAAAACTATAAAACGATGAATAGTCCAGATTTTTCTTTCACTCAGAATATTGCATGTCCATCTCCCATGACATTTATAAACAAGCAATTTTTTGTTCAAATTTCCCTGTTGTTTGCTATCACGTAGTTGTAGGCAGTATCTGGCAGCAGATTCCATTTTTTATAAGAATCTTCCTATAATGTGGCTATTAAAACCTCATTTAAGACTCTCTGCTTCTCTCTGTGGAGAGAAGATGGTTGTGAAGAAATCTAGGACCATTATAGAACAATTGTTTTATCCTTGATGCACATGAATTTCTAACAAGTTATCAATATACAAATGACAGGATTATTTCATTAGAAAAAATCATATGTGACTTTCAGGAAAGCATTTCAGTTTAACCTGAGTCAGGGATAGAAGTTACCCAAAACAGAGTAATGTTCTATGCTGATTGGTAAAGAAATATTTTTAATATCCTCCCAATTCTCTCTGTAAGTTTTAAAAAGAATACAGTGAAGGCATCTCTAAATAGCTTTGCTGTGTGTTGTTCTAGTGCCAGAATGAGAAAAATTACTAGAAAGTTACTAGACACAAAATTGTGAAAGACAGAATTCAGTCATCTTTGTTTAGGGCATCTAATTGCTTTACGTAAATTTGTCAAACTGAAACTCAAAATGCTGGAAACTTTAGATTTAAGACATGCTTTTGAATATGAGTATGCGAACTTAGAGAAAATACACACTCATATATGTTTTGCTTGGTAACTAACTGAACTATCTGCAAGAAATGCTATGGGACATAAAGTATAGTTCATCAAAAGTAGCCAAAGGACCAAGAAAAGGGGTTTGGTTTGATTTTGTTTTAGTAAGCTAAATATACAAGTGGATGAGCTTCTGAGGCTTTGATGTAGCTGGCTTTTTATAAGAGGTTCGTTCTGCCAGTTCTGACCAGGACAGAGCATGCATGTCAAATCCTTTTCTAAAAAAGTCTCTCTGATTCATTCCAGAGAACCAGCCTTACTAAAGCAAGGCAATGTTAACCCTTATTTAAGAAATGTATAATATTATGTAAATTGAGAGAAAGAAAGAGATTGTAGCTTACTGAAATGGTGTTTCTAACAATAGACATCAATTTAAGCCATTAAATAAATGATGGCATTGTTTCCAAAATGAGATAAGGACAATTCAGAATAAATAGCAAACTTTCAAGTTACTATAACAAATGATAATTTCACAAGTCATCCTTCAGTTTTTCTGGGAAAATATTGAAAATATTCATTCAGCAATCCATAAGATTTTATACCTGAAAAAAACCTAATTTTCTGGTAAAATGTGAGGTACATAAATGTGGTTTTTATATTCTTTTACTATTCTTTTACTTCTTATACTACTAATACTGGTATTAGTAATGGCATAGAAGTAAATTCTCAGAAAATATTTACCTCTCTGTAATAAATCTTGATATAGTATATCTTTTATGACAAAAATGAGGACAAAAAGAACAGTTTTGAAAGATTAATTCTTCTGAAAAAGCATGCACATGTTAAGAACCCCTGCTGAAGTCACATCTAAATCCCATTTTATGCTAAAAGAGTGAAAGAGCAAGCACTGGATTGCCAAGCCTGACCAAGCATTATTTGAACTCAAACATTTAGAAGTAGTGCTGTGAATAATGATATTCTGTAAAGCTTTCAGATAGAGGTTAATATGTAATAACAGATAAGTATGAGTATGATTTTAGTGAAAACATTGTGAAATCAATGATTGGGGATTTGGACAACATAAATGTAACTTATTAAAGGAAATATTAGGGATAGGAAATAGCTGTTTATACTCAATTTATTGCATACCACTTGTATATTTCATGTTTACTCACCCATGGAATGCTTCAGAAAAAAACATTAACTTTTTGCCAACAGAAAATGCAGTACAGCGTTATTTAAGGACAGAATAACTTTTTTAAGAGTCCATATTGCAGACAGTAACTGTCAGCTTTGGATGTTGGCTATTGGTTGTTAACCTTGTGGAAAATAAGCACAAGTTCTGTGGGTACTCTGTACCCGTTTGCTCTTATTTGTGTGGGAATCCATATACTTTTAAACATCGTAATCAGTTCTAGTTATTGCTTTATACCACCAACTATCCTCCATAAATTAGAATCTCTTTCTAATATGGACAGCTTTCTCATAAGCTGTCAGAAAGCAGTTGGTTTTTGGCCCAAGTATTTTACAGCTTTAATTTGTGGTTAGAAGGAAGGTTTTTCACTAAAACTTCAGAAAAAATGAATGAGAGAAATATGCTCTCTAAAATGAGAAAGAAGTATTATAAACATAAAACATCTGATATAAATGCCAAAACAATTTTGAGAAGCCAAAGGTATTTTTGTAAATTTTGTTTTAGTAATGGATGTAAACTTCACAAATATCAAAACCATAAACTTCCAGACCCCCATTTTAATTTGCAATGACTTGACTCTGATTTTCTTTGGATTTACTGGAGTATCTACTTAATATCCTATGTATATTGAGATTCTTGGAAAGAGATCTAAAAACCCAGTAATATTGTAGCTTAATTTAGGCAAAAATTCCGATGGCTTTTGTTCTTGTTTGATACAAGTAAATAATACTTTTTATTTTCTTTTTTTTTTTTAAGGTGTAGACTTCTACAAGACCTTTGAAATTATCTGTATATATTAATATGAAAGTAAGGAGAATGGGTTTTTCAGATACTAATCATTTTATCTCTTTTGAACGTTTGCAAAACATTGTAAATTTCTGTAAATTCTAAGCTCCCAAAAGATTATTTAGTCTTGCGCTGCTTGGAGAAGAATCCAGCTGTGCTCCTTACCAGCCCTCAGAGCAATGATGTTACACACAGCTTGTAGAATGTGGAAGCAATAGGGTTATCAGATCCTCCCTCCTACGTATAAAAATTATCTAAAATGTAATTGGATTAGATCTATGGTTATGATACTGGGTAGTAGTGTACATGTGTGTGTGTATTCCTATGATAATTCTTTTTGAAGATTCCTTTAGTTAAAAATATTTTGCAGTACTCAAAAGGAAACCTCAATCTCTCCAATTTAGAAACTGTGTGTGATAGTCATTGCACTAGGCATAAGGTGTGCTAAAGGTGAGTTCACTTTTGATTTTCTGGTGTTTACCTGGAAAATACTTCTGCATTCATTTTAGTTTTGGTAAGGGTTTTTCGGCTGTTGCTCTTGATTTTTCCTTATTTGACAGTTGTGCTGAAGAGGCATCCCTCAAGCTAGTTCGATGTTTATTGGTGGAATAGATACAGCATATTGCTACTCCAAGAGTATTAGGCTGTTGTGTGCTTCTAAGTCTTCGCAGATTCAAACTTATTAAGACTGGATCTTTTTCTCTTCGCTGTGATGGCCAAGAACTGTGTCTACAACTGTCTTCTCTACATCGTTGTCTTTCAGAAGCAAATCTGAGCAACCCACTATCTCTCCAGAGGGGTAGATAGAATATGCGTCTCACTGGTGAGGCTCATTTCGCATGGTCATTTCGAGGTCAGTCTTCATGCAGAGTTCACACAATCTCTTAGAAGTCAGGTTTTGGGTATCTAATCTAAGCTTGCTGGAACTGGAGTCAACTTTGTATGTAAGTCAACTTATATATGCAGATAAGCATTATTTATGACAAAATAAGACTGCTAAAGCATCACAGAAAATGTAAAACAGTGATAGTGCATTTACAATTTGAGTTTCTTGGCAGTATATAGTTGCAAGGTTATTTTTATATGTGACTGTTTTTAAATGAAACAAAAAAATCTGTAGCTCTAAATGCAAACTACATTTGATATGCTCTTGTTTTACCAAAATGCCAGATGTTTCAGGTACAGTGAAGCTGACTCTTTAGAACTGGTTTGTTCAGCTCAGTCAGAGACAGCCTGCCAAAACAAGGCAGGTTAACTCCAAATCACTGCAAAGGTTCTCTGGGAAAGAGGAAAGAGAGCAGTTGTTTCTAGACCAATTAATTACATACTTTGGGTTACTGTTTTTAGTGGGTGGTTGTAATAACCAAATGACCCACAAATACTCCATGGAAACCTTAGAAAAAATACTCTGTTTGAATAATGTTTTTACTGTGTACTGTACAGCTGTGATCTTTCAAAGAACTTATAATGCTAAGAATAATTTCAGAGCAAGTCAGTCATAGTAAGTGAAGGAGGTATTTTAAACTTGTTGTAGCAAACATAGTTTTCTTAGATGGATGGGAGTATGAAATATTTCTAGTCTTTTGTAGCTTATATTGCTTTTTCTTTCATAGTCTTTTTAATGGATTCTCAGTAATAGATAATGTTAGTGATACGCATTCCAGGAGGCCTCTTCTGCTTTGGCCTACTTTCAGCATACCAGTACAGAAAGATGTGAGAGGATTAGTTTAGCCTGTAGTCTCATGTATGCGCTTCCAACAAAGTAAGTCAAAGCTGCCATCACCCTGTTCTGGCTTTCCTTCTGCTAGGCTGGTTCCATGGATCTTCTTTGCTTGGATCAGATAAAGAGTAGCCCAGGGTGCCATGCCAGGTGAAAAGCAGTAAATGCAGCAGAGCCCTACATAAATGCTTGTGCTGGCTCTAGGGTGGTAGTGGGCAGTGGGTTCTGAATAACAGTGACATCTTTAAACATCTCTGTGTGAAGCTGTGACTTCAGAACTCCTGCCATTCCAGAAATTATGGTCTCCTGCTCACTAATTCTACTGGAAGAAGCATTATTGTTGCTCTTGGGTTTTTCTGTTCTGCTGTTTTAATTTTTCTTTTTCATGACAGTGCCGTATCAATGGCTTTTAGTTTAAGAGTAAGGATTTCTGTCCCAGGATTTTTATCCGTGAGTTCATCTGCTCCTTACATTGCTGATTTTCATTTCTCATTGAGGATTTACAGTCCCTTAAGGTTTAGTAACTGAAAAGATAAAGCTGCAGTAAGAAGTATCCTAGAAAATCAGACTCCAAAGAAACACCTGCAACTAATTTATACTCTGTGAGTTTCACCCTAGGCTTCAGAAAAGTATGAGAGAAAGCTAGCTCATTTGGAGAGTTGTAGAAACTTCCACAGGGACAGATCAGTGTAAAGCGCTGTTCCTTTCCACTTATTTTGTTGTTCTTTTTCCTTTTCCTGCCCACCCCCTGTCTTGTCTCCCTCCCCTCAATTCTTGCCTCTTCATAGTAGCCTCTCCCCAAATTCCTTCCATTTTTCTGCCATTTACTTGAAACCAGACAAGCACCCTAACTATGAAAATTGCCAAATGCAAGGCATCTTCAGGGTAAGCTTGCCTTTCCTTCTGTTTTGCAATTGTAGTGCTACTGGGAATCTTGCATCTTGTACTTTCAATAGAAGTTTTTTTTTTTTTTTCAAATGTATGCAATGCAACTGTGAATTTTGCTTCATAGGTCAACTAGTAGTTTATTTGAGAGAGAAGAATAAAAATACATTTTTTGTCTCTGAGGTGATGGAGATAAATCATAATCATTTGTTAGAAATATTTATGTTACATGGCAGTCAAATTGCACAAAAAATTGTATCAACAGAGAGGTGGGAAACTATAGCAATGATGCCTAGAGGGGTGATGAAGTGACTGAATAAGAGGGGAGCACTAATTCCTGAAATTACTGATGGAAAATATTTCTGTTCCACTTAACATTTCTATTCTTTGTCCCCGGCTACATGTTGGTCTCCATCAAATTGTGCCAAGACCAACTGTGCATGTCTGAGACACTGAAACCTCTTTGCAGTGTAATGAAAATATTTATCTTCTATGAACATCATAATAATTCATATAGAATTATGATGATTTTAGAGCCATAGAGACACTTCACAGAATTATGTAAAGCATCAGACTGTAAAGCAAAAATTGCATCAAACAGTACAATCTGAGATAACATAGTTAATGTAGTCAGAAAATATGCCAGATTTTATCTCCCAACAAGTAGATAATTTGTATTTTATGGTTATTTATTTTATTTTATTTTATGGTATTTTCTATTATGGTTTATTTCTTTTTCTACAACTTATATTTGCATTTGAATGATTTTCTCAGTATTAGTGAAAAGTAAAGTAGATCAGATAAATAAGGATGCAGTCATGCCACCTTCTTATCTACAGTCTGGTCTACATGCAAAAAATGTTTGGAGCTTTTTTTTTGTTAGCTGTCAAAATTCCATCACCAAAGGACTTTTTGCTTTTCATGTCAGACACCAGTATGCAATAGTCTGAGCTTTTGAGGCCAATGTTGAAAATTAGTCTGTATCTGTGTTTTTCTATTCATAGCTCTGCTTTTGGGGGAAAAAAGGAAGCCCTTTTTTTTAAAAAAAGTAAATGTACAATTGCATGTGTTTATAGTAGCACTTAGTCTAAACATCCACAAAAATGGTTGTAGGGTATCTGTGTTTGGGTATTTGTGAGTGGCTGCAGCATGGACCCATGTGCATTGATACAAGCTGTATGCTGCAGCTGGCTTTTCTCATTTTAAAGATATGACTCTAAAACTATTTCCACAAAGCAAAAAAAAAAAAAAAAAAAAAAAAAAAAAAAAAAAGACAAAAAACTATAAAACTGCTTCTACAATGGCTTTCTTTTGCTGAAGTGGCAAAGTGAAAAAGGATTTTCCTGGGCAGATTAAAAACACTGGGTGCTCCAGACAGAACAATTGAGCATTTCAGAATGAATTATACTAACTTGCTGAACCAGACTCTTCTGCCTCTGGGCATGTATTTGTTTGCATATATTTATCAGTCTGCTTGGAAACAGAATGAGAAACATTCAAGCATTGCCTTTTAGAGAAGAATCTGAATGGAACCTTTCTTTGTTATTGTATTAGGGGGGAAAAAAGCATCCTAGGGAGGATTGTAGCCACTTTCTGTAAACTAGAAAGAGGCTATAAAGGCTTCGTCCCACTGATTTTCACAGACTGTGAGTTGCTAGTTCATCTTTCCTTTAGATAATTCCATGCTCCAGTTTAATAGTGAAGCACACTATAACTCCCATCTCCTAGCTCCCTAAGGGAGATATTTCAGGAAACCCTTACTTGCTTGTAGTTTCTTGACTGTCAGGCTATTTTACTTTTTTATTTTCATTAATGGAGTGCTTCAGATGTAATCTGATTGCTAGGGCTTTAGCAATAAATTCAAATTCTTCCAGAATTAAAAGTTTTTAAACTAATGGCTCCCTTACTACATTTAATATTTTAACAGCTAACTTCTTATGAAAGGCCTTACTGGTTTGTTAGAGTTATGATCTTATGGCCTCAAAATCAGGTTAGGTCTGATATTAACTGTGGTACTTCACAGGATACAGGTCTATCTAGCAAGTACTCAGAGCAATTACAGCTCCTGACAAACTGCTGGAATTCTCTTCCCATGTGACCGGAAAAACTGTTCCAGCATTTGACATAAAGCAAATGCATACCAGTCCCTGTGCAAGAGGCTGCTTGCAAAGGCTACGGGTTGTTCACACTGCTCAGTGCACACAAGGAAAGCTATACCAGGAGGCTGCTCACACATCACTGATGTTGGTAGTAAGGAGACACATTCTTACAGTGGTTGTTTTGATTATTGTTCTGCAGATCCCAAGAGCACTTCAGGGTCCAGGTGCCCAATCAATCCACATTATGATTTTATCTTGTGAAAAGGCTCAGGGTGCACCATTTGCTCTTCTCAAATTTTATTTTACCATCTAAGAAGACTGATTTTCTTGGTTTTCTTCTACTTTTTATGTCCTTGCAAATCAGTGCTATTGGACATTTGCTAATTGCTAGGCTAGGTTGCTTATAGCTCCCACAACTAGAACTCTGAATTGAAAACCAAAATACTAATATAGATATGTATAAGCATACATATATAGATATATATGTATAAGCATAGCTTATACATCTCCTTCATGTCAAAAGCCAAAAATATTGCTGGAAATAATGAATATGTAATCACATTTTCCATAATGAGGAAAGTGTTCTGCTGTATGCTCTTTCAAGAGTATACTGAGGACTTAGGAATATACTCTCTTCACTTAAATCTCTCCTTCTGTTATGTAAACAATGTATTAGGCAACTAGAATGACAGTTCCACTGTTTTTGCTTATTTGTTTTTACTTTCTAATTAATTTGACTTATTCATTCAAAGGGAAGCTGGTGCCTATCTTGGTTAATAGGGGATGTCTGCTCATATTTTTGCATAAAGATTTCAAGCAAGGCTGTTTGTTTCCATGGTTATGAAAATATATTGGCAGGAGTTTTAAAATCTTGAAGAGAATTTGCTTTTTGGTAAAAGCAATGATGGAATCATAGTCATTCACTTTCACCCACTACCTAATAGATTATAAAAGCTGGTAGAAGTTTTTAATAAGGAACAATGCCAAAATACTGATTGGTGAAATTGGGTAAATAGGGAATTAGGAAACAACACAATCTTTAATGACCTCTGCATTTTTATTTAATACCTGTTTACACAGAAACTGTAGATTTTTCTTACAATGGGACTGCAGAGGGACAGAGCTGGTGATGCTGGGGGGTAGAATGAGCAGCATGTACCTTGGTGGGTTTCTCTCTACCAGTATAGTTTATTAGTGCATTCCCAGGGTGAATGTCATTTCAGTGAGGAAAGTTTGCTTGAGTAGGTAGGGTAGCATAAATTACCTCTTCCTCCTGCAACAGAAATGCAGAAACCAACTGTTTTGTCAAGTAGGGATCCACTTTTGCTCCTTGAACTGCTTGTTGCAGGATTAAAGACGGAATGGGTCTTTTTTACTGCCCACATAGCTAATATCCCACAGATGTTTTGAAGAAACAACAGCTGAAGAAAGATTATCTACCTCTCCAGTTTTGATCTGAGAATTCAACGTTTAGTATCCTCTAATGTTTATTTAGTAAACCATTCTACACCATATCAGGGGGACTGCAAGATCTAATGGGGCCATATGGGTTTTTTTTTTTAACTTTGCAAAGAAGGATCAGAAGGAATTTGTCTCAATAGAGGTAATAAAAAGGTAATAAAACTGTACTCTTGTTCAGAAATGACCTGGCATTCTTAAGTGGATGGAGTTCTTTCCTCTCAATGAAATACCTGTAGCCTGCTTCTCAGTCAACTTGCTATCCTTTGAGTTTATGCATTGCTTGTCCAGTTGTTAAGTGTGAAGGTTCACAGTTTTTTATTCTCTTCATCTGAAGTCTCAGATGCCACATACACCTTAAGGAGATGCATGGCAGAATTTAGTTCCTTCATATTGTTTGAAGTGGGTAGTTTTTTGTCTGGATTATGCTACACCAAGGGCCATACATACTTTGCCACAAAAAGGATAAACCTGTATTCCTCAACCCCCACCTTACAATTTCTCCCTTTGCAAAGGCACCAGCAATCATGCAGCCACATAACTAGATCAATAAAGTAGCTGGTATAGTTGAAAAATAAGCCAAAAAGAAAAAAAAGTTAGTTTTTTCATCAGATCACTGCCCTTTCAGTATTGGCCAAAAATAACAGTGCAACTGCATTTTCAGTGTGGAAGGTGGCTTTGATACATTCTTAACAAAAATCTTTTACGTGTCACTCCTGGTACAGAGCATTTTAGAACAGGGGTTGTTGAAATGTAAAACTTACAAGATATCACTGGTTGTAATGTGCAGTGGTACCTTGGGAAACTTGCTTGAACAACGACTCACTAGCAATACTTCGTGGTATTTATTGTGTTGATTCTGACATGACTCCCTACAGAATAAAAATCTTGACATTGATGAATGTCTTGAAAGGTTTACAGGAATTCTTTACAACTGCAAAATACCTGAAAATTTAACCAGAATATATATTAGGAGAAGACCAAGGGGAAAAGAAACCACTTAGAATTTCCCATTTTATTTTGTGCAGTTGTTTTCTGTCCAATTTGTGGATTTGGTCATACGTACGGTATATTATCATGTGAGGGATTTATTGATCTTCATTAGCAAGTCTGTTTGGACTGATTTGAAAGGTAACATTATTAAACTGATCAGAAATATTATGCCAGACATTCAGAGTAGAACAGTCTGTTTTCTGTAGTATGACTACATCTAACACCACTTCTTAAAGTTGTTTGTTTTGTAAAGCACTTTCATATTGGAGAATATTTTTCAAAGTTACACTATCGGTATGGGCCCACAGAATTCTTTCTTTGCATTTCCAGCTGCTCTATAATAAATTCCATCTGTGTTTTAACTATATTTGCATTGATTTTTCAGCTATGCTAGCTTATGTCTGTCCTCTGTCTTACTGACCCTAAAGTCAACCAACATGGTGGGCATAGAGCCAATTTCACATGGCATTTGGTTAGTTTACTCCCTTTTAAAGTAGTTTAGGAAATGTTACTCAAATATTTCTCTTTTTCTCAAGACTGCTTAACATTCACAGCTTCACCCCATTTACTCTGAATTTCAGCCTCCTCAGTATTTTTCCAATTCTAGGGAGAGGGATTAGAGATATACCTCACCTCTAGCAATTTTCATCATTGTTTTCTTTCAAAATTTCTAGGGGGTTTTTTTTGTCTAGCTATGGGGGGTTTTCCCTAATCCTGGGTGTGTGTATAATTTTGCTTTGTACTACTTTGCATTTGTCTTTTAAGACATAGTTATATAACCCAAACACATAGTCTACGCTCATAACTTTAAAGGGAATTAGGCTGTGCAAAGAGTGCAAGATCAGGCATTTGGAAAATGATCCAGTGGAATTGTTTTCTTGTCCCTGTACAATGAGTATTTGTCTTAAACAACTTCCATGGCTCTTGGAAACTTATTTCACTTCTCGTTAGGTAATCTATTACCATTAGCCTTTTTTTGGTCGGAAGCCAGTTCATTCCTATAGGCTTTACTGAAGTATGTGTTGGATTTTTTCCCCTTCTGTTTGGGTTTGTTGGGTTGCTTTTTGGTTTGTTTGGTTTTTTTTTTTTTTTCCTTTTACCATTTTCGGAAATGATTCATCTTTTATTTGGTGGCTATTGGTTTGGGTTTTTTTCTTTTACCATTCTCTGAAATGATTCATGTTTTTGTTTCCCAGATCAATGACCAGAAATGCAGCTCCTTGTTTCAAAAGCCCAGACCTTTATTTATATGTTGTTTTATTGCAGAATGTATGGGATGTTGTCAAGGCAATGTCTGATTAAATTATGATAAGAAAGTATATTTAGTGATTAGACTTATCAGACTTATTTCATTTTTTGAGAATCACATCCCAGATCATGTATCACACCATACTATTGATAATGCCATTCTCCTGTTAGTATAATTTAAGACATGTTTTTTCTTATAGCTTACTGAGAAATTTAAAAAGACATAAAAATACTGTATTGCCTTTTACATACACGTGGGACTGTTTCCTCACTTCACTGTGTGTTGTACTCTCTGGAATGTGTATTTGAGTAAAGGAAGCTGTACAGTATTTCTTAGAAGAACAAGCCAGGAAATAGTGATGCAAATAAATCAGACAGGCAGGGTTTTAAAGAGTAAGCTGGTGTAGTTCCTTACCTATCTGACTGTATACAAAATCCAAAAAAGAATTGCAGTTCTTTATGGTGGACTGAGGGGGGGAAAAGGGTCATTATAACACACAACAGAAGGTGGGTGCGAGGAAGAGCAAGTAATTAAGGGTCATAATGAGATACTGACTTCCTTGTGTGCTGGTGAAAAGACCTGCCAGCAATAAAGGGATTTTGTGTGCAGCAAATGGTTCAGAGATCCATGCTCAGCTTTGCTCCTCTGGTCCTTGAAAAGTCAAGACTCATTTTGGTGTGGTTTCTGTTTTACATAGTTTCTATTGTTGCTTCTACTATTGATATCAGTAAAATGTGAATGTGTAAATAATTGTTCAGCAGGATAGCTGTGATACCATGAATTGAATTTGCTGCTTAAGAATTCCCTAATTGCACTTGCTGTCACAGTGGATACTTGAAGAAGTTCACAAAACTTTCAGCATCCCTAGGCTCTGGCCTACAGCACTCCTTTTAAGGTTTTTCTTCTCAAAGGAACTTTGACTTTGTGAAGTTGTAGTTGAGATACAGCATCCCTGAGCATGAAGTACTCCTCAATCAAACCTAACATCAGTCATGTTCTGAAAACAGCTGTTGTGTGTTGTTTAGCTTTGTCAAAGAGAGGTCTCTCTTAGAGTCTAACACTGTAGAAAGGAAAATATCAAAGCACCTTAGCACCTATGTTGTCTACCCTTATTACACTTCAATAATTTTAAAGCCTAGTTACAAATTCAAGTAGGATCTTAAAAAATAATAAAGCCATGTGAAAGCAAAATGTCATTCATAACAACTCATATGGGACAAAAAACAACAAATTGCCAAAATTGTTTGGATTTTTACAGAGCATAGTCTTTTTAAACTATGGAAACTGCATACTTACAAAGTTGTTGTACCTAATGAAAACCTATACAGATAAATAGAATTTCAGTGCTTTTAAGAAACTCTATGTATCTGCTTCTTCATTGACTTTTCAGAATATTTTACCACAGGATACCTATCCCATGATACCTGTTCAACCTTGTGTTTAAAGATACTTCCAGTTTTGTTTTTATTTAAAATACTCTTTTAGAGAAGAAACATATCCAGAATCTTCTGGATATCTGCAGGTTAATATTTCTATTCTACAACAGAAATATGGACATTTTATTGCATGTTTTAATTGAGTTTGAAGTGAAAACCACCTTTTTAAAATAGAATTGTATGGCGAGAGTGGTAAAGTTTTTCTCTAAATTCTAGATGAAACAGCAGAAATAATTAAATGTATGGCACAATCTTTTTACCATTTAAGGTCATGGTAAAAAAAGAAATCGGAAAAAATGTGCAGCATTCACTGGAAACTAGATAGCAAAAATGAAGTGATTAATGTGAAGTAATTTAGATTAAGAAGAATACGTCTTAGGAAGGAATCCAAACCTGCAGGGTTATGTCACACTTCACAGATTTTGCAAAACTGTTCCCATAATCCTACTTGAATGAAATGTAGCATTTTAATATTCAGGTTTACTGCAGTATAAACGCATTTGTCTTACAGCACTTTCTTGAAATGAAGTTTTATGATACTATATCCCTTTGCAGTTTATTTTCATCTCAGCTGAATAGCTGATGTATGCAAAACTTAATGCTTCCCAAATATATCAGTAAGAAGCCCAGAAAGAGATGTATGCTGCAGACTCTCTCAAATTATTTCTGTGGAAGTTGAACATGTAAGACTGGGTCAAAGCCAAAGTTAAAACTAATTTGGACAAGTTTGTTCATCCATTTCTACCCAAACATATCGCAAAAATTACAAGAAAATGAGTTTATAAAGTCAGGTACAAGAAGTTACTTTCTTAGTCTCCTGTGAGTTCCTTTAATCTCTGTTCTCTCACCATACTGCTGTATGTCTCATTAAGTTGCCCTGTTGTCATCTTGAACAAACATTGGGAATGAAGGCAAGATGAAAACTCCTTGCTTTCGGTTCTTACACCTTTTATCTGTGAGTCAGAACAAGATGTCTAGAGCCATCCTGCTAAGCCAGGAACAGCCAGAGATCTCATATAATCCACTCTATGTGTGTGATTCATGGACTTCTGACCCAACAGAAAAAAATCTGGCTGGAATGATGATGCCATACGAAACATGTGCAAAGCTAAATCTTTCGTAGCAAGGGGTTTTGCTTGTTTCTTTTTAAATAAAAGAGCTTGTGATCAAGCCAAATATGGGCATCATTTAGTGCAGAGAAAAAGTCTGATTTCGGCACTATTAAGATCATCTGTCATTTAATTCTCTACAGAAGTGCTCGCATGCTACAATGTCCTGAAGATGTAGAAAGCACACCCCTTTGATTAATTTCAACTTCTAAACCTCAATTTCAAAGGCCCCTGATTCCCACAAATAGAAATGTTACAAAGCAGTGAGAAGCTGATTGCAGGTTCTTCTATCAATGTGCTGTGGACATCTTTCATAAAAGACGATGTCACATTTCCAAGAACACATTGTTGCTTACCAACAGACTTGGAAATCTTCTCCTCCATGGAAACCATGGAAAATGTCCTGGTAGGTTTTGCACCAACACATTTGGCGTAGATGAGGGTTATGCTGGCTTAATATCCCTTTGGTTGCCATACAGAGAGGAATTGCTGATGCAAGATGTTTTGATGTTTTGGTCTGTAAACAAAGTATTGTGCAACGGTGAAAGAGCTCTCTTAAAAAGCATTTTGTTGCAGTGTACAGTGTTGGAGTAGTTCATGATCCACTAAGCAAGGAGAAACACTAGTCAACAGTTTTTCTGTGTATTTTAGAACAATTGCATTCTTTTTTCTAAGCCAAAATATAGCCATCACCATTATACAGATGTAAATCTTTCTTGAGAAGTCTGGTTCTCTTCCTTCATTTCCTGTAACATGTTAGCTGCAGCTTATTTCAGACTGTTTTCTCTTAGGCTCCCAGAAAATGTAAACAGGGCATAAAATCTTGTCTACAAATCTTCTAAGTAATTCTGAGCTCCCACAAGGAGTGCATTACCCATTAAATCAGTTATTGCAAATTACTATTGAAGTTTTTTGGGGGTTGTTTTGCTTAGTTCTGATTTTATATGTTTTAATGTCTAGGAAGAAGAAATCTGATTTCTAAATCAGAAAATTAAGTCTTTTAGTATGTTGTGCTTTGACAGCTGCAATCTTCATGATACATGTCTTTTTATTATACATAATGGTGGATTTTGGTTCCTCAAAGTTCTGTTCAACTGGTGAGCATCAACGAAGATGATTCTATAAAGGCAGATCTTACTAGAACACTGCACCAAGAGACCTAAAATTATTTTGTATTGTTAATTTTGTTACGGTGTTGCTTTATTCTCTGTCTGATCTGTGGATCTTCTATTTTGCATGACAGACTGAGATGAGTCAAACTATGGAATAAGACTAAGTTTTCCATTTATAGTCAGCTTCAATTTTTCACTTTCATTCAGTTTTTCATTTTCATTTCAATTTTTCATTTTCTTTCAATTTTTTATTCAGTCTGTGCTTGTTACCACTTGCAGATATCACTAGTTATCATGTAATGAAGTCATGCATTATATATTTCTTTCTAAAAACAGACTGAAAAATTGTCATCTACTTGCAGTTGACAGTGGTTTCTGTGTAGATTTTCCATTTTGATGAAAACATGTTAGTTATTTTTTTTCCAGATCTAAATGCAATGGGGCTTGCCAGCCATGTATATGGAGAATGGTGTTTCCTCTTCCCAAGAATTTGTGCCCAGCTCTCTCAGACATGTTCATTGTCCTTGACTGCTGCTCTAAATATAACTCAATGCATGACTTTTGACCACTCAATAACTACCTTACATTTCAGAGTAGCTTTCATACAGGTCTCTCCCAGCACAAGTTTTAGTACTTCTACACTGAAAATTCTGACAATATTATTTTGATAAGGCTTTCTTATATAATTAATGTTGCTTCTATGGATCTATAATCATAAAAACATGCATTAAGATTAAATTATAATTCAGTTGAAACTATAAACTGATATGTAGTAATTATTGTTGGACAGTAGTGGTAATGAACAAACTGGCTAGTGTACAATGGGCCTGTTTTATCAGTTAAGTCAATCCACTGTCTCATTCTTTGGCAGGGAATTTTTTGAAGATCTGTATTAAAATGTATTATTATCAATGTATGTATCTATACAGTCAGATGTTAAGATGTTTAGTCTGAGAAATATGATTTTGAGTTATTCAATATGTTTTACAGTATCACTAAATGTCTTCGTGCTTATGCTACAATGCCAGTAGTTTTTGTTACAAAGCTGAACATTAGCATGGAAAACCAGTTTTAATTTAGAGATAAAATGCTGAGGTTTTTTTCATTGTTTTCATAATTCTTTTAATAGTAGTACAGATTTTGTAATTTTTGAATTCCGTATTTCCAAGCAGCAAGCTGAAACAGTTGTTGCGAGTACTCTAACCTTGGTAAGTGGTTTGCACTGTGGTGCTGAATGCTTTCATATTCAGACGATAGAACTACTCAGGTCTATTGGGTTAATGATGTGGTCTTTTATGACATATTTCTGTTCCATGGCTCATGAAGACCCTTCTAGTTTTTGCCTATATGAAACTGCCACAACACGGATGGGGAGCTGGACAGCATGAGGGCACTTTCTGGCAGAAGTGAAGGAGAGAGAGGATATGGCGTGGTTCTCTGAGGACAGTGCTTCAAACTTGTGAGAAGGAGGCTGCCCTAGCTCCATCTGGTTGCAGCTGTAGATTTACTGTGAGCTGTGGAGTAGCTGGAGTGAGGGGGTTCACTGGGAGGGGAAGTGAAGGAAGCACAAACTGGCAGATACCAAAAAGAGAAGATGGTACAGGGAGCAGATACGCTCTACTTGCATGGAAATAAACTTGCACATTAAAGATTGCTGCTGGGGTCAGTGGCAGCAATTTAGCTATCTAGAGTATTTAGAGACAAAAGCTGTGCTTTGAAACCTGTTTGACCAGACAGAGAGAGGACTGGAACTTTCATTGAAAGTCAGTCGAGTAGTAACTTCCACACCTCTGGGAGGTCACCCTTTCTGCAAGGGTAGAAACCTAAGCTTTCATATGCATTTATGTTAGATCTTCAGATAGCTTTCTCGGGAGCATTGCCAGTTTCTGTTGCAGCAGAGACAGAAGAAGAGTAAATGTTGAACAGCATGTCAAAGGTCGAAGGAGATGTCCTTCTACCCTGAGCATGTCTCTTGTGGTGTCATTTGTTCCATTCAGATGAACTGATGTCAGATGACAGGGCCTGGACAGTAAATTGCTTGCAGAATCAGCAGTGAGTTATTTGTCAGTAGCCTGAACACCTGCTGAAGATGATGGAGTTGTTCTGAAATAAACTGGTACTTCTGCAGCCTTTAGCAGTAGAAAGGATGAGCTCCATAAGATACTGCATTTTGTTTTAAATTACTATTTGACAATGCTATATCTTTGTGACCTTAGTTTAATTTATTCTTAAAGTATTTCTGTGTTTTGGATTTTTGTTTTAGCATTTTCTTTGTCAGTTAGGAATGTTTTATTTACATTAATCTTAAAACAGACAACTTGAAACCTGATCTTTCTGGGCATAAATTCTCCTAAATTGTTCCTATATGTTTCTTATTTTGCTGAAATTGTTTGGTTTGTTTGGTTATTTTTCCTGAGGTGAATTTTAGCATGCTAATTTAAATATGTAACGTAATTATGATGTCATAAATATATTTATTCTGTTATTTGATTATTTCCTTATGTTTTTCTAGTTTGAGAGTTTCATACAAGTAAACAAACTTGTTCAGGCCTCTGTTGACGGCAAGAATGTGGTATGAAAATACCAGAGTCGGTTTCTGTTGATCTGAAAGTACAACTGACTTGGGTGCAGCTTCTTACAAGAAGGTGGTTATAAATGCACCTTTGTATTCCCTGCAATTATTTTTTTTTCTTGCTTGTGTCCAGGAGCAGTCACTATTGCCCTGTACATCAGTGACTTAAAGTAGTGCTCTCCATTCCAGTTTACTACTTGTTTTCTGCTTCACCCAACATCCATGTGGGCTTGCAACAATGGAAGGAGTTTTAGCATTATTTAAGAGCTTGTTTTCATAGCTTAATACTAAGGAACCATATTGAGAAATACAGAAAGGCTTCCAGATTACCAGACAGAATTAGAAAGTTTGAGATTTAGCTATACCTTCTTGATTTTTTTCAAAATGCTGTTTCTTGTCATACGTCATGAAAGGACTGTCTCAGAACACTTTTACTAATTTTAAATCACTACTTTGTTAAGGGTATTCCTTTTAAGGAGTAACAGCTCAATAAGCTCCTTAGTCAGATAACTAGATCTCTGTGGATCAACTTTTGTTTCAGCTGTCAGTATGGACATACTCGGTATATGTTCTCCTGAACTGTTGTCATTTTCTCATTTAAATGTAAAGAAAGAAATCACTTCCTATAAGATTCCTTGATCTTTGTTTAAAACAAACAAACAAGCTATCACATAAATCGACTTAAAAAGACTAAATCTAAAAGATGTGAAAAAAAAAAAAATACAGTGACCAGCAGGACTGGGTTTTGGTTGGGGTTTTGTTTTTTATTTGAGTGTTATATTCCTTGCTTGCTGTGGCTCTTATGTAGACATATACAGTTTGACTGTCAATTCCTCCTCATGAAGTACCTGAAGTCCTGCTAAGTATCAAGCAACAGTAGCAGCCGTAGGGAGTGTTCCCCTAGCACATTTCACTGGCTTCCTGCAGGTTAGCTCCTCTTAATAAACGCAACTTTTTAAAGTTTCAGGATATTTTGAGAGTAAAGCTAGTCTGGCTTTGTTTCTTCACGCAGCATAACAGAATAGTAACTTTTTAAAAAGTAGGTAGCAGTGTTGAGGGATTCCTTTTCCCTGCAGAAAGCACCAGCGAAATCCCCACAGGACACGCTGTAACCTGTTCTAAAGAACAATGGAAAACATGACAGGAATCTGTGGGTTTTTACACTGGAACTCCGTCGCTTCGTTTTCCTTTGTCTCGTTGCCAGCGGTCCGCAGCCGCGGCCGGGGCTGGGGGAGCGGTGCGGCGGGAGCCGCGGGGTGCCGGGGAGCGGCGGCGCTGCGCGGCCCCGGCCCGGCCGCTGCTCCTTACATGGGCATGGCCGCGGCGCGCCCGGGGCCCGGGCGGGGTGGCCCTGGAGCCGGGCCGGGCCGAGCCGGGGGCGGCGCGGCCCGGGGGGCTCAGCCAGACAAAGAACAGTCCCGGCAACCAAATAAGGAAGTTGGAGCCGGAGGATTTCAGAATAGGAGCAGAGGGGGAGATGCCAGGGAAGCCGGGGAAGCAGTCTGCGTGCAGGGAGCTGCTCTCTCCTGTTACCCGCCGAGTGCTGAATGCAGGGGATCGAGGCTGGCGGACTGTCCGTACCCTTCTGTGATCCTCAGCCAGCAAAGTTAAGAACTCAAGCTGTGTTTGTCATATTTTCTCATGTTTCTGAAAGCTCTCTACAGATTTTTGTTTAGAAAGGAGGTCTCTTTGGCAGCCCTGTTGGTTAGCAGGCTGAAGATAAATGAGTCATCCTTTGCCAGGGGGAAAGAAGAGTCCCATTGCAGATAATTTTAGGCATTACAAAAACATATTATAAGTTTTTGTCTACTGTAGCGTTCTAATGAAAACTTAGAAATTCCTCTAGAAAGGGTACACAGGCACCCCTGAGTGTCAGAGATGTCTTTACAGTTAAGAACAGTAGTAGAGAGAGAAAATAAAGAAAATAAGAGCTAGAAAACCCTAAAACTGTCCTGACAATTTGCATAGAAAAGCATTTCGTAACAATATAAAATATGGAAAATTGTTATGGGGTTTCAGAAGTGCAATTTAGCTACTGGTTTAAACATAGGTGTAGGATCCCTGTGATCCAGTGTCTTGGGATGTTGTTTTCCTTACTTATTTGAGCTGAAGTTAAAAGGTCTTCCTGGTGGAAAAACACATGGAACACCATTCACTTTTTCCCTTCAGACTCAAAGCAGGAAGAATCCACACAACAAATATTCTGAAGGAAGAACTATAATCTCTGCTGAGTGTGTGGAACCTAGAATAGAGAAAAGTAAATAGCTGTGGGCATAAACTTCAGCAGTAACATTTAACATGCTGGCCTGGTTTGCTCTGGTTTCAAAATGTTAGCTACAGAATGTGTCCTAAAGTCACAGCCTTTATAGCAAACAATTACATGCACTGTGAGCTTGACATCCTGATGAAAGGAAGTAAGTTATGCCTTGATCTTGAAATTGTGACAAGATCAGCTCATAAACAGCTACTGAAAAACATTTTAAATACTGTAGGGAAGCCTGCTCAGAAGAAACAGCTTCTTTATCTTCCTTGACAGGCCTTACAATTACAGCAGCTGTAAGTTACTGAAGTGTAGCTAATTGAAAGATACAACACACTCACTATTGCCATGTCGGGGCTATTAAATAAGGGAATGTAGTGCTGAGATTTGAGTTCAGAACTGGGAAGGACTTACAGGTGACATTCAAACTGCTGTGATCCTCTGCAACTTTTTTTAAGCCTTCTAAGATGTTTAGCATCTGAAGTACAGGTAGACCTCTGATAAATCCATGGCAATGCTTGTAAAAGTGAATATCGGTATCATAGCTGAAAAGTATTATGTCAGCTTTACTATGAAGTAAAACCTAAGCAGTGAATGGCTTTTTTCCTGTTATAGTTTCTTATATTTAATTTCCAGATCTCTCACACATTGCAGTATCAATAGTTTTGCAGGTCTGGAAATCTCCTGGATTACTCATGGATAAAACAGACCAATCATGTGGGCACTGAAGTGTCTAGGAACTTTAAGGAAGTCATTGGGATACTTAACTTCTCCATATGCTTGTTGTTCAACCATCACTGTTCCAGTTCCTTATTAGAAAGTGCCTACATCGTAGACTCACAGTTTTCCTCTGTGCTGTCATAGGGGTTGCACAATAAGTCTGACCAATATCTTTAATTTTTTACCCTGAGGACCTTTGCTATTTTAGTCTGAAAGGTGAAATAGTGGTATAACAAAGAAGACTTGAGTGTGAGTCACTTCGTCACTATGGATGCATGCACAAATGCGTTTCCACAAAAATGGTAACTGCTGCCTTTTGAAAATTGACTCAGTAATAGAAGCTTCTAATCTTTGGCTTTCTGTTGGTATTATTAGAAGTTTGGACAAAATTCTTCTTGTCCTTGTTATTGTTGTTGAATCCTATTTTGCTAGATCAGAGACTGCAATATGATTTGCTATCAAGTGTTGACCCTAGCTGTGTTTTCCTTTTTGTAAAGCACATAGCTTCAATGGTGTGTATTTGCAGAATTGAAAATGATGGGAAATGTTTGCCTAAATATTCTTACTTGCAACAAACATGATCTTTTTTTTTCCAGAAGTGCTAAGAACAAAAGCCACAAACAGCTTGGTACTTCTAGTTCAGACATTGTGAATTTCACCAAACAGAAATAGTACCAGACAATCAATTTACAGTTACTACCTCAATGTCTGCCAACACCAGCCAAGTTAGGTAGTACAGGATACTTGAAATGCTTTGGACTGGCACATGTTTGGTAACTAACATTTCAGAGGTATAGTCAATCACTTTTGGTTTTGGGAAATCCTAATTCTGCAGTCTGGCCTTCTAAAGAAATATCAAACTCTCACGCATTCAAAGAAAATCGGTGTCCTGTTCCTGGCATAGGAATCCACATTCAAAGCTAATCAGAAAAGCTTTGACTTTTCTGTCAAAGTTTTGTCCCACATTATGGGAGGTGATATAGTTTTATGGAGATTTTTTTTTTTGTTTTAAATAAAAAAAAATAAAATCTGCAATGGTTGGCATGCCAAAGCTTATTTTGAACAGCTAGTGTAAATGACATGCATTTCCCTTATGTGGGAAAAACAAGGAGATTGCTGAACTGGCCTCCATAGATCATTGAATTCAGTAAGCTGCGTATGAATCAGTTTGGAAGCTTGTAAACTCTTTCAATTCCCTCTTCTGGTCAGTCCTTCGGGTCTATTTTACTGACATTTCAAATCTGAGTTTAATGATGTTTGAACTGTAATACGATGCAAAGCTGCATTGTAGCTAGCTGAATACTATTTGGGTTGATTTACAGGCATGCCTATATCCTCGCATTCATTTCCAGATTGTAAGACTGAAAGAATCTCATGTCACGTGTCTCCCTCATTAGAAAACACAAATTGAATATCGATCACAACTTCTTCCTAGATCTCAGAATTTTTAAAGTTTCATTTGTTGGATTTCCTTCTTTTGTCAAAATGTCTTGTTTTGATTTTAAAAATTTGAGAGTTTTGGTCTTAACTAATGTGATCAGAATTGCACACTCCAGTATAGCCTTGAATGTTTCAGTTAAGTCAGCAGCTACAATGCTTAATTTTTACATATCATAATGAGGAGGCAAAGATAAGAAAAGAAACAGAAGTGTAGTTTTTTGTATTATAGTAACACCTGGAAAACAGCTGTTGCTTTTATTTATAAAAATATATGTACACTATTAAAATACTCTTCCTTCACTGAAGATACACTGCAGGCAAAAAGATTGTATTTAAATGCTACAAATTGTTCTGTAATAGTTTAAGAATTTGACAGACTCTCTCATGCAATCCAGTGTGTTATTTTCATTTATTTTCACTCATTGCTGAGGATTAGTTTTTTAAAGGTTTTCTCCCTGCATTTTCAGCTTTTCTTTCCTGAAGGCATCCTTTTTAGTTTTTGTACTTCAAACAATACTAATTTCATTTTATTTATGGGGTAATTTGAAAAGTAAATCTTAATTTTGTGAAGCTTCTCAAAGCCTGAATGAATGCTAGCAAGAAAACTTCTGGTAGTTTTGTGTTTGCCTGCTTTACTAGTGACATCTACCATTATCTTACCTGGTCCACAGAAATTAATTGCTGGGCTCCTTTATTTTTCCAAAAGCTGTTTTTTTTCATTATAATTATGTTTTAATTATTTCTTTTAAATATTATGACTCAACTGGAGTTGTAGGCAATTTTCTTTTTCTTTTTATGTGTGAATTAGTTTCCCTCGTTTTGGTTTGCCAGTCATGCTGTAGATATAGTTGGAAATTCCTTAAATCAGAAACAAATGTTCCAGGGACTGGAATTATAGGCAAAGTTGTTTACAAGAAAGAATCACAGATCATATTAAGTTAAGCATATGGTTTTACTTTTTTTCTCTTTGGATCTTTATCTTGCAATATGCCTCATGCTTATTTCCCAGTAAGCTGAGCTTCATTTTCACTTTCCATGCCTGAATATGCTGTGGAGTCCAAGAAAAGCAAGTGTATTGAACTAAGCTGATGTGCACACATTGTCTCTGCTTGCATCTTCCATCGCCATGAACTGAACACATGCATACACACACAGATATAAAATTCTTACGTGCAAAAATTTTAAGAGCTGTGACAGAAGAAATGTTGGAGAACTTCACGCATGCCTTTGATGAAGTATTACCTCAATCTATTATAATCAAATACAAAGGAGGAGGTGCAGTTAGGAGATGTGAAGTCCACGTAATGTTTTTCTATCACTGACTTTTCCTACTGTACATCAGTCTGCTCTTTGTTGTGTGTTTTATGTTAACTGCACCTTTTACAGGCTGTAACAGAACTGTGTTCTGCTTTTTAGATAAAATTCTTGACAAGCATACCTACCAAAAGTCATAGAGAGACCTGACCAGCCATGAGTGATACTCCTTTTATCTTTGTACTATCTTAATGCCATGTGTATGAGCTGCCATGCTTCTTCCCCAGAGTCATGTAGAAGAATTGGGAACAGGGTGCTAGTGCAGCGCCAGCCTTCTGACTGCCAGGTTCTGACATGCCACTCTGTTCTAGCAACGGGGAGATGCTTCATTTTCCCCTCCCTTTTTCCTATTTGGCAGCATTCCTCTGTTCTTCCTGTTGTATTCTGGAGGGATTGAGTGGTGTGGAGTGAGTTCTGAGTCCTAAAGAGGGCTTAATGGTGAAAAGGTGTGAAAGAGGTTGAGTAAGCAGAGAAATTTTCAGTGCTACCTTGTTCTGCATTGTCCACTGTGGAATGATACTTCTCAGATAGAGGTCTTGCTCATTTTGGAGGTTCATACCAGTTGGGGGAAAATAGTTACGGTGATATTCTTGTAAACCAAACGCATTTCCAGCCATCCAGAGCTGGTCTATAATACACACTAATTGGAAACTGGAGCTCTGAGAAGAAAGAGGATCACCAATGCTTTCACCTGCCCTAAAATTTTTTAACTGTTGTCCAGGATGTTGAACTGAGATTAAAGCAGAATGTTCATACACTTGCTGCTCGTGAGGTAGAAAATGCAAGTGATACCACTGATCACCTCCACGGGCTTGCATGGAAATGAGAATAGTGATTTTATAGATGTATCTTTTGAGATTATCTATCTTGTTTTAAGCAGATGTTGAAGTAGATATTACTAGTCATTAGTTGTGTACTACGATTGCTTATGAAACTGATGTTGGCATGTAACCTGTAAGAAAGCACTGGATCCGGACTAAGTGGCTTATAGTAGGAAGGGTATGAACCAACAACAGAAATGTGACATTCTTTATCTTCTTGTGGGAAAAAAAGAAGAAAAAAAAAGGAGGAAAAAGGAAGAATGATATACCTTCAAATGAACGCCTTAATGGAACATGTAGTAGTAATTAATGTATTTAGAGTAAGTGATACTCTGGAAGGTTTTGCATAATTAGATCACAAAACAACTAGATTTTTATATCATATAGTAAATTTTTTTCTGATCACTGATGCTATTCTTTGGCAGATGAAGAAGGCACAAGAGGCTACCTGCAAAACAGATGACTACCGTGCAATAACATGATATTTTTTTCTGAAAAATGTTTTAAATTCAGTCTAACTGAACACTTGGGGTCTTGGTATTGATGAGTAGTGGCATAAGCGTTAGTTTAAAAGAACACGGAAGTGTTAAAGGGCTTAGAAGAACAACGTGAGACATTTCTTCTGCAGTTTTACATTATACGTGTAGCCATCCCACCCGCTCTGTCACGCAGACAAAAATGATGTGGCAATCGTGGAAACTTTTGCCTCGCAGAAGAGCTGATGTAAATTCTCGTAGCAACACTTTTGTGCAGCTGTATGGCAATATGGGAGAGCCTGGGATGTTTCTCTGGGCTGTTGCAGCGCCTTCTCAAGTTTTTCTGCTGGCTATGGATGTTCCTTGGAAGAGGAAAAAAAGTGAACTTCCAGCCTGGGACCCGAGCATTTTTTGGCAAAAAGTGCACCACGGAGTTACAGCTCTTGCAGCTCCGAGGGGGAGAAACTTAGGCTGCAGCAGGGGGTAGAAACACGCCGCTGGCGACTCGCTCCGGGAAACCCGCGCCTGGCCGCCGTTCCCGGCAGGCCGGTACCGCCTCCCGCACGCAGCGGGGCGGCCGCGGGACTCTTAACGTGAAGCCGGCGGAGGGGGACGCGCCGGCGGCGGCTCTCGGTGAGTCACGGCGCGAGCGGCGCCCCGGGCCCGCCCTATATAGCCGCGGGTACCTGCGGGCGCCGCTCCGCTCCGCTCCGCTGCGTCCCGCCACACCGGCGCTCGGCTATGTGAGAGCTGCCGCTCCGCCGTGCCCAGGTAAGACAGCAGGGTGCTTGCTGCAGTCCGCGGCGACGTGTCCTCTTCAGATGAGCGGTGATGGGAGGCGAAAGGTCAGGACACATGAAATCATGCTGTGATCGGACCGGGCTGACCGCCTTTCTTTCGAGTATTTCCACTTTTGATCTTCTCTTTCTTGATCTTTTAGTTTGCCTCATCGTCTGTAGTCGCGTTCGAGTTTGGCTGATGCACTTAATTTGCCGACCCCGGCCGTCCCCTTGGTGTTTCCAAAGGCAGAAAGGATGCTTTTGTGGCGGCAGCGGCTCTGTGCATCTCTGTAGCTCAAGCCTTGCTAAATCAGTCCTTAACAAATATGATAGGGCACTAAACTATGAGTGCCTTCCCAGCCTTCTTTCTTTGTACGACACTTCTGTAGGAAACCAGTGATAGTTATGGAGGAAGAGAATAGGTAATGGACAGGAGACTTGCTCTTTTAGAAGATTTGCTACAGCTTCTTACCCAAATGAATCCAAATATTGGAGTTTTGGCTTGTTCTGTGGAATTCACATGTCTATAAGGAAGACATATTTGGTCATCTAGCACTTAATGTACACTTGTAGCTAATTTTTTTTGTCTAATGTTCGTCACTGCTTGTTGAAAAAAATTTGGTGTTACTTAGTAACTTTGTAACTTATAACAGTAACAGCTTTGGAGGTTTTTTTTGTTCTTTTCCAAGTCTACGGTACACATCAGACATTTGTTTAAATTTTAGTAGTGAAGACAAAAAAAGAAAAAAAGAAGAAAAAAAAAAAGGAAAGTTTCCTGGCAGTAGGCACATAATTAGAAAGAAGGCTGGGAAAAGTAAGACTGGCCTTCTTTATAATGATGTGCTTACAGAAACTTGGAAAGCAGAGATATGCATTGGCTATCAAAGAGAAACCAACGTCTGCTATTGGAACATTTGGGTCAGCTTTATATTAAGGAATATGGCACTGCAGAGCACACATCTAAAAATAGGAGTGGACACAGTCAATGTTTGATTAGGCTTTGAGGTCAAGAAACTGTTTTTCCATGGTATTCTGTGGCTGTATTGCACTGAAACCATGATTCCTGTGAACAAACCTTGTATTTCTGAAATTAACTTTGTAAGATGTATTACATACTGTGCAGAAAGTTTTATGTTCACTCATGGGTTTGTGTGCACAGAAGTACGCTGGCATTCTGGGGTGGGAAAAGTTTTATGATGTTCTTTAAGAAAGCCCAGCAATTTCCAGACATCCAGAGCTGGCCTGTGATTCACAATGCATACCAGACATAAAAGGATTAAGATATAGAATTGATAAAAAGAGGATGGAAAAAAAATCATAGAAAAAGTTAAATGGCTCTCAGCACATATCCATTGATTGGATCTAAACCACTTCACTATATGAAAATGGGGCAAACACTTGTGAGAACAAGATTCTGAGAGATTGTGTTGCATCCTGCTTTTGGTTGGGGAACAAAACCTGAAAGAAGTGTCTGTGAAATGATTTTCTTTTACTGATTTTCCTCGCCAAAAGGAGAAACCCTGTGGGAAAAAGGTGGGGGCAGAGGGATAAGAGTTTGAATAAAAGAAACTGGAAATGTGGGGTAGGAGATATACAGATGTTCTTGCAATGTTTGAAACACATAGGAATATGCAGGTAGGATATTGTTGGAATTGGGAGTGTCTCATTTGGATAAAACAAATCCTCATCTTTGAGACAGTGGAAATCTGACAGTGGATCTCATCTTTGAGATGAGATTTCTCTCATCCTTGAGATAGTGGAAATCTGATAATCACAAAGTCATAATTTATCAAGTTATCATACGCTGCAATCTGATGTAGCACTTTTCCTAAAACTGCAATGGTGGATATGTGGTAAAGGTTTGTTAGCAGTTGACAGATGTATGTCACATAACTTTTCTTGCAGCTTTCTGAGTCAAGAACATTTTTTTCAGTAAAAAACTGTTCTGAAATTTTGAAGTCTATTTTAACTAACAATTAAAAACCCATTGATGTAAGATAAATGTTTTTGTTACTGAAAACCTAGAAAATTCTCTATTATCTTCAAAGTGTTCTGAAGCATCTTTGTTCTTTTCTTTTTGATTTTTTTACTGGCAAAGCTCATCTTGCTGGACACTCATGCATGAATTTTTATGGGCCTATTGACTAGCCTGAGCTTACTGTTTTCTCTTTGCAGAGACTATTATTGCAACATATAAAACTTTGCACTGCAGAATTTTTTGAGCTGATATGATGATTGTGGAGAGCATGATAGTCCAACTGCTCCACAAGCCGAAGCATGATTGCAGTTTTGTCATCCACTTTGTGGTCTGTGTG